TAGTGATACTGCCTCGGAAACCCAAGGAGGGGTCGCTATGAGTCGGGTTTGACTCGATGGCACATAACAACAACAACAACTTTTGACAAAAGATTTAATCTGCTCTTTTCAGGATTTGTCAATTCAGTTGTCTTAATTTCATAACCACATTATGTCCCTAACTACCTTGATTGTATTTCCCCTATAACAACAGTAGTTTAAATACCACCCTATATAGATTGGTGATTTTTAGGGCAATGTATTGTTGGCAAAATGCATGTAGTGACTACATCGCATCATGAAAATCTGTGGAATTTTTATGTCCACTTGTCAACTCCCCTTATCAATAACCTCTTTGCAAAGTACCTTACCAGATTTCCCTCAAATAAGTTGGCTTTTAAAATGTATTTTCAGTTTTTAAATTTAGTGACACCTCTTCAGTTAAACGTTCCAGTTTACCAGTAACCACAGGATTGGAGTTGAACTTTAAATGCCCAGTCAGAGGCCATCACACCACAGTTGAATGAAAATGGCTTTCTTGCAGTTCAGCTGTTACAGGCTAATATTGAAAGGGCACCCCCTAGAATGTTTCATCTTCAATAGGTTGTCAGTAGGTACTACTTATATAACTAACTTTTGGGGCAGTATAACATACCCTGGATCATTATAATGATTTATCAAGAATCACATCTAAAACCTGTGGGTACCCTTTTCAAACTCCCCTGCTCCCGTAGTCGGGTCAGAGATGACACAGAAGGAATCCCTGGATTAAGATACGAGTGCAGGAGGGTAAAAGATCGTTCTCTTGTGTAGACTTAAGCCTTTTGTAAATATAACTGGTGAGTATAAAGTAGAAAATAGAGTTAACACATTCTGTTCTACCAATTGTTAACCTTTTAAAAATAAAATTGCTGCTAAAAATAGTGCTGTTACACTTAAGGAAAATTGGTGCCACTGTTTTGAAAATGAGAATCTTGTGCCGTAAATGCAGCTGAACTAAATAGAAACTTTAGTTCACAAATTAATGCTGTCAAAAGAATGAGTAAAGTAGAAAGTAACTTTTAACTAATGACACTTTCATTCTAAATTATGTAGTGTGATCAAATAGGATCATCCAGAATTTTTATATTTTTCTTTGTACAGAGGCTGTGTTATGGGTGTTTTTTAAAAAGGAAACATGTTAAATTCCACAAATTGACGCTTTTTATTTGTCTTAAGTGGACTAAGATTTTTTCCTTAGTAATCTCTTTGATTTCTTTAAATTATATACTTTCACAGTAGAGAAACTGGATTCTTTTTGTATATAAGATTGCTTCTACCTGAAATGCTGTCATAAGTACTTGGGGGGGGGGGTCATCTTGTACATGATATTCTTAGAGGTAATAATGCATGATTTTATTTTACAAACTCTTGAACTATGTATTTGACATGTAAAATATGTACAGTATTGATGTCAACCATCTCTTAAAAGTCAGCCTATAAATATTGTTGTATAATTTTCTTTGCTCAGAAACATTTGGACTAAGCAGTGCCACTCGGGTCAGGATTTTCTGAAGTGCCGTCTCACAGACTTGTCTTTAGTTTATGCAACTGGCAAAACACCCAGGTCTTCTGTGTGTATAATGCAACAGCATACTTTACAGTTGTCACAATTTATATTTGACACGGGGGAGGGAAGGCTATTCTTCACTACTATTCTGGAACCCCATCAGCAAAATTACAGGAAAGACTCTTAAGGTTCATTTCTTATAAGAAATAAGGTTAATTTCTTGTAAGAAATAAAGGCTAAACAATGCTGGGAGCTCTGGTAGCATAGTGGCTAAGGCACTTGACTGCTAACCAGAAGGCTGGCGGTTCAAACCCACCAGCCACTCCTCGGAAGGAAGGTTGGGCAATCCTACTTCCGTAGTGATGCTGCCTCGGAAACCCAAGGAGGGGTCGCTATGAGTCAGGGCTGACTCGATGGCACATAATAACAACAGAAACCAGTGTCTGCTATCTCAACCCTCCAAAGTTTGTAGCAGTGGCCCTATCATTTGTGCTTTTCATGTGATTGTTGAATAAAATTGGGCAGCTAAATTATTCAATCTCACGTGCCTCAAAAGTGAAAAACAAACAGAAATCTTTGTAAATTAAGACTTGGAAACAAGTAGAAAGTGTCCTCCATGTTTTGTAGACAGGCGACGTTTTTCAAGCAGGCACTTACCATTATACACCAGTGTATAAAACAGCAAGACTGAAGGGGGGAAATGATTGTTGTATACACTTTGAATTGCTTTGCATGGTCTCATTTGAGATAATTGGTATAAGAATCTTGACCTTTTTTATATTTGGAAACATCAAATAAAAATGGAAATAAATTCTTTGTTTTGGTTTTTAAAAGTAATTGAACTCAACACTTGGCAAATAATCAGCTTTCTGAAACTTGGTAAGGTACGTGCTTTTTTTTTTTTTTTAAGTTATTTTGTTAATATATACAACAACTAAAATACACTGATTTACCATTTCCTATAAAATTCAATGACTGATTACATTCTTTGAGTTGTGGAACCATTCTTACCCTCCTTTTCTGAGTGTTCCTCCCCTATTAACATAAAGTCACTGACCCATAATGTTTCCATCTAATCTTGCAAGTTGCTCGTGTCAATTTGATCCCACATAGATCTTAAAATTTTGAGCGCAATGCTTAAGGCAGGCATCCTTTACCTATTAAACTACACTACTGTTTGGTTATAATAAGACTGAAGAGGGCATTTTTGGTTTAAGGATTAAATATTCTCTGTTCTACATTTTCCCCCTTTTGATCAGTATTCTGCTATATAATCTTTTATCAAAATGTTCAGTAATGGTATCCAGGTTCCATACAGTTCTGGTCTCATGGTAAATGAAGTAGTGGTTCATGGAGGCAATTAGCCACACATTGCACATCCTCTTCCTACTGCTATCCTCTGTTGCTGTAGGTGAATAGAGACCAATCATTGTGCTTTGGATGGCCACTTCCAAGCTTTTAAGAGCCCAAGCACTATGCAACAAATTAGGAGGCAGAACAGAAGCACTAAACACACTAGGCCAGTTAACTGAGCTGTCTCATGAAACCATGACCCTAAACCTCCAAACCAAGGAACCAAATTCCTAGAGGTATTTGGTTGTATATAAGCAGCTTTAACAGCAACTTTTTTTTTTGGTCATTTTTTATCTCCGTTTTTGCCAGTTCAACTTTTTACAGGTGTACAATTTATTGACAATAATCAGCTATACACAACCCTCCCCTTAAACATTTCCATCATTGTCAAATGAGACTCAGTACTTCATAAGCAGTAAACCTCTATTTCCCCTTCCAACTCTGATAACCACTAATAAATTTTGGTCCCTATACATGTGTCTTTTGTATTTTTATATCACCAGTGAAGTCATAACAGTATTTGTCATTTTGTGATTGACTTACTTCATTCAACATAATGTCTTCAAGCTCCATATTGGAACATGTATCAAAGCTTTTACTGGCTGAATAGTATTTCATTGTATGTACATTTTATCCATCTGTTGATGGGCAGGTTACATGCTTTTGACTATGAAATGTGTATTTAGATCTCCAAAGGAAATAATCTATTGAATGAATCGTTTCCTCAACCATGCACTTATATTTGGTTCAAACATTCATGCTGACTGCATACGCCCTCCAAGTGAAAACATGTCTGGCATTCACAGTAACTTTACTGTTCCCCCATTGATGATTATCATCTCTTATTAGTGATATACTGAACACTTCCACGTCTGGTCCTTATGAGTGGAATTACCAGGTTACAATGATTGCCCACCACTAAGTAAGATCTGGTATTGCAATAGCTCAGCTCTCAGCTGCTAACTGAAAGGTTGGCAGTTCAAACCCACCCAGCCACATTGCAGGAGAAAGACCTGTGCTCCATCCAGTCAAGATTACAGCCTAGAAAACCCTATGGGGCAGTATTGTCACGAGCTGAAAATCAAGAGTACCTAACATTGTTCCACATTCTACTCTGGCAAGTAGTGACTGGGATCTTAAAAGCTTACAAGCAGCCACCTAGATGCAACGATGGGTCTCTCCTCGTCCAGAGCAAATAATTAAGTAAACCAAAGATTCATGGAAACCATTAGTCCTCATGACCAACACCATGTGATCCTCAGCCTATA